TACTGGATGAGAATAGTGTATATATATCTTACACTGTCAAGGTTAAGGCTGGTGAAGTTTACTACACATAGTTCCAAGTTTTAGGGAAAAAAAGCTTACAAATATAATTACTATAACTTGAAGAAGTCAAGAATACAACCTGACCTGTCTGCAGGTCATCCAAGTGTTTTTTTCTAGAGATCTATTAATTTTGGGTTGTCTGCAACTATTATTTTCTAAACTCCTGAAAGTCTTTTACGAAAGTGTGAAAACAAATTTTGAACAAGGATGAAGGAATGGTCTTTAATCACACTAGCGAAACATAAATATAAGTGATGGGCATACATCCCTTTTTCCAGGCAGAAGAGAAAAACCAAACATTTAAACGTGTTACAGCATCATCCTGTGTGCTGGGTAGTGTAGTTTTTCCAGGCATGACAACATTGATGTCTTTAGTGTACCAGCAAATACTGTTAGTGAACACTGTCAGCTTATGCTGTTTTGTGTGAGATATGATGGGAATGCGAAGATAGTGTGGAATATGTCTTATTAAATATTTAGTTCTACAGTTCCATAGTCAAACAGGAATTACTTGATGTCAATTTTGTTATGCTAAAATTGTAATATTAACTTGGACATTGAGGAGCTAAGAACTTCAGAACAAACTCCTCAGTCTTACTATTATGGACAGTGATTTTGTTTTGTGAAGTGACTTGCTTTCTGAAGCTTTTCTGTGATTTCCGAGTGTAGTGTGTTCAAAGCAAACAAGCTTCCTTCTTACTAACATTGGACAGTTACAATTATGAAAGGTAGCTCTGGCAGAACTCTCACATGAGTAAAATAAAAAAGGCAGGATTGCTTTCACTTCTGTCTACAGGAAGGTCTTAAAGAATGTGCCACGAATTGGAGATGGCGTGTGGTTCTGCCTGACCCTAATACTGTGTGTGTATTTTTTAACTTTGTCATCAAGGCTTTGGCTTCTGTAGGAATGACTGGCCAGGGCACACCCTCTGATTGATCCCTAGGATTTTTCATAGATGAACTTTTCAGAACTGTTTGAGGAGAAAAAAAGTTATGTTGTATCTGAGGGAAAAAAATAGTTAAGATCTTTTATATGCTAACATTCTGGGCTAGCAAGACTGAAAATTTAAAAATAATGTATCAAAACAGAAAAACATACAGCTCTGAACATTCTTTGAACAAAGGTGTTTTTGTTTTCAGCTGGTAACAAAATTTTCATGAGGTAGCAGTATCACCTTTCATTTGAATGCTAAGTATCTGTTCCGTCACGTTTGAGCTAGTTTACTTAATAAACCTTATAAACACTGCACTGTGCCTACCTGTATTCTTTCATAAACTAACTGTTGGAATGAAATACATAAGGTATCATTTTGACTGGATATTTTTTTAAAAATTAAAAACTTCTGTTGTGACAGGTATCAGGTCATTGTAGCCTACTATGAATCATACTTTTTGGCTTTCTACATTTACGGTAAAATATGTGGTATGACAGAAACAAAGTGTTTAAGGGTTACAGTAAAAGACATTGCCATTAATCCCCTTCCCCACATTCTCCCTGGCTTCTGACCCATCCCATCATTCTTGCCACTTTCTGAAGCAGTTCTAAAGTCCTTTTCCATGAATCTGTTTAATTGTGCTGTTGTGGATGCTTCAGTGTCCTGAATCAGTTCACGACATTCACTTGTCAGTCATTTTGACTTCAGGGAGGAGCCAGAAGTTCCACAGTGGAGAACACATCATAGTGTATCTGTGAGCCTGCTTTCCTTCTGGATGGACGACACTCAGCAGCAACTTGCCATATTTTTAAAAAAATTAATGTTTTATTTATTTGACATATGGTCTCACTATGCAGCTCAGACTCATAGTGATCCTCCTGTCTCAGCCTCCCCAGCTCTGGGATTACTGCTGTGCACCACCATTCCCAGTTTCGGTGGCTGGCTCAGGGCTCCCACAGCATGCAGTGCTGGAGATTGAACTTCGGTCCTTGTGCTTGCCAGGCAGGCACTTACACTGCTGAGCTATCTCATCAGGCCTCACCACTCTTTTTTTTAACCATACTTTGTAAAGACAGAGAAGAGGACTTCCAAAACTACTTCAGAAAGTGGCACAGATGATAGGATAGGTGTTCAAAGTTAGGGGATTTTTGAGGGGCCTTAATGACAATGTGTTTTATTGTAACAAAATTTTAATTGAAACAGTTATAGTCATCATCCCTTCTAACATATTAATGTGGAAAAAAGTTATCCTTTTGCACCTCTTTACCTTACTATTCTGATTGCTATGAACAAGTAACTATCTGATGAAGAAAACTAAAATGTCCTGCAGTCTGGAAGCTCTGAGACCCTTAAGTAGGGGCATTTGGAGTGGTGTGTACAGCTTCCAGGGCTAAGGGTGTACATATCCCCAATTTTAGATAGATGCTAAAGGGCACACTCCTGGAACTCAAAGGAGGAGGGGAATCTCCACTCTTCTTTTTGGTAAGCAAAACTATTATCTCAATTTAGGAATTAGGACAATATATTTACACAGCAGAGACAATATTGATAGGGTAGGACAATATATTTTTAAATAAAAGACATTTGAAATTTACTTTTAGGGAACTAGAATTTTATTCTTTACTAGTAATGAATGAGATATTTTCCAACTGCCTTGAAAAAATTCATGTGTAAGTTTAGAATGTGCCATTATACTCCTTAGGTTGTGTTCTTATTTGAATCACAGCATATCATAACATTTCAACTAGTTATGCTATTTAAAAAGAGGCTTGATTTTATAAATGTACCATATTAATGACTGCAAAATAATTCTTAAAATGTTGCTCATTTTCTCTAATCCAAGCATTTATGTAAAAAATCAGTAGCAAAAGTACATCTTCAATAGTCTAATTACTACTATACAGCAAAAGCAAATATATAAATATATTTTACAAATGAACTGTAAAAGATTAACTTTTGCAATTTTGTTTAGCAACAGTGCACTTTGTTAGCATGACCAAATTATACTGGACATAATTCCAGAGATGCAGCAATCGTCTTTTTTTAGATGTCATCAAATGAAGATCAGTGTTTTGTGTAGTAGTCTTTATTATTTTTAAGCTATTGATAACATAGCATGGCAGCAAGATTACATCAGTAATGTAATACAATACAAGTTTTCCCATTAAAGCCTGTACTTCACTACACGCTAAGCTGTTCGGAGCGTAGCCTCCTCACACTGAAGTACAACCACGATGCCTCTACTGCTTCAGCTAGCAGATAGGAAAATACTGTGCTACATTAAGGTATTATTTTACAAGTATCATTAGCAGCATTACTGAGCTTTCCATAACTGTGGTTCTACAGAGATAAATACTTTAAAACAAGAGTAGATTCTTATGAAACCAAAGTTTTGCATTACTTCTATTGCTCTTTCAAAGGCCAGTTTCAGGAGCATGCTTGGTATCATGGTTTAATCCATGCACACCCACCAATTATAGTCAGTCTACCTCCCAGGTTAACGATGCCAGGGTACTTTTTACAGGATGAAACATACATATACTGGGCAGCTTGTTTCAAATATATGCTGTAGGGCGTTTTAGCTTTCGGGGGTTTCATGTAGAAAGCCTTCACTAGCAGTGTTCTGTTAAAGTGTGAGCATGCTTAAATAAACAACGAACAGGGGTATACCCAGATATATTTTTGTTATAAGCCCAATCTGTCTAGAAGGTATTTATTGTCCTAATATTTCATTTAATAAAATGGGAATGAAAGTTGGCTGTTGGTGTTAAAACTGGACTAATTTCTGCCCTCAAAGATGTTTTTCACAGAGAAATAACATCTATTTGTATAGCTTTTAGATTCAAAGCTGCTCTGTAGTTACGCTATTTTCCTCCTAACAGTCCTATGAGGTAGTGAGAGGAAGGAGGACCACCATCACTTTAGAGACAGGGAAACTGCTGAATCAAGCTCTTTTGTGACTTGTCTGTGGCTATACAGTTCGTTAAATTAGGAAGTTTCTGAATGGAGTGTGGGACTACAGACTAGGCCACAGCATTACTGTTATACCTTTTCCTGACAGCTATAAAAGCTGTACAATCTAGTTTAGATTCATGCTGATTTAAGTAAGTATCAAGTTATCAGAGCTATTTCCTACAAAAGGGGAAAACATACGTATCTATTTTGTAGGCAAATAACAGGCCTGAACTTTTAAGGTATAACAAACTGGTCAAGCTTATATATCTTCCCTCAGTCATGATCCTAAGATGGATCCAGTATTCAGGTAGATCTTCATTTTCAGAGAACTGGTCTCAGTTCTGTGTATACTGTTATTTCTTTTCCTTTTAATGAATGAAGACATTCTAAACTATGGAAGCATTCAGAATGATCACCATTCCTTTAAGCCTGGAAGACCCCAGATGAAGCAATAAATATATTTTGCACGATCCCTCTCTTTCACCACATAGTCCTACATGAAAGTGTTTTTAAAACAAAACTAGTGATCAACAGCATCATTTTAGGAACAATCCTCTGAAACTTTAGAATTTTTTTTTGTGGCCTCAGGATATCTTCAGCTTAGGTCTGGTTTGGCTTGAGGATCTGGGGATCGAACCACAGCATCCTGAGCCTGACTGCTTTGTTTAAGCAGGCACTTAAACAACTGAGCTAATAATGGGCAGGCCCCCAGTCCTCTGAAACTTTAAACATCCTTACACATGCTTTATTTCCTATGGGAAAACTGGAGATGAAAAAATCATCACAAATGCTTATTAGAACTTCCACTTAAAAGGAAAGCACTGACATTCTGAAAGATATTTCAAAAATCCCACTGCCTATTGTTTTGCAGTAATTAAATGTTGTTACTTCTGTAAGATTCTTAACCAAATGTATTATTCTGTTACATTTTGTTTTTCAATGCAAGTTCATCAAATTAAATCACTGAATTTGTAATATAATTTAGGTTCACAAAAGCTTTAGAAAAAAATTCATAGAAGCATAGAAAGCAAGCAACATATGTAAAAAATGTTTTTTACTAAATCAGCATAACAGACTAAAGCTGCAGCATCTGGTTTCATTTTACATTTGGCAAAAACAAAAAGCAACCCCCCAAATCTCAAAACATAACACAAAAGCTTCACAACCTATTCCCCCAATGACTGATTTTGTCAATTTGGGCATGCAGCAAATTTGTTGTTAACAACCGTGATGGAAATAAAAGTATTTCAAGAATCTGGGCTATATCCTATGTAACATTAATGCAGAAGGAACACGAAGGAAGAACAGTGAGACATCACACATACGTAAACATGAAAAGTTAGCTTACATAATTACATAATTAGAAAAAGTTAAAAATAAATTAGTAAAAATAAATTCCCAGTATAAATCCAAAAAAGCCTAGCTATAAATGCAATCTGAAACAACTGATTTAGTGAGCTGGTCTTGTTTTTGCTAGAAAACCTTTTTCATTCTTTCTTACACAAGCAAATAACTGTGAAGAAGCAGGCCAAGGTGCATTACAAGAGGACTGAAATGTAGTTCTGTTATAACTTAGACACATCTTTCTCCCCATCATTACACAGACTCAGTCGGGCCAAATAAGTCATCTGAGATGCTGCTGAATGGCTGAGAGTCTATCAGTTGGCTGATCTCACTATCGAGGTCTTCCGCATCGTCTGTGTATTTGCTTATTTTTTTTGAGGGCTGGTCTAAAGACAGACTTTCTAAAGTTTCAATGTCTTCAATGCCTGCTCTGTAGTGGATCATTAGCAGTGTTAGAGCTTGTAGTCTTTCACCTGACTTAGCCAAAGCAGCAGACAGAAGTGATTTTTTCCTTGTATCAGTTGTCTCCTTTTCTTCTCTAACAAGGGAATTGTTGTGTTCCAACTCTTGATCAATTTCATTCTGCAGTTTATCCAACATAAATTCTAGCTTCTGGATCCTTTCCTCTGTAGGCAAGCCCCTGTACAGATCACGGCCAATTTCTTTAACTGCAATAAAAACACTGTCATCCAGCCCACCTTCCTTTCTTGTTAACTTCATTCCTGTACTGTTTCCCCGTTTGGAAGGACTGTTTGGACCACAAACCTCTGTGTCACTGCCTTCATTATCAGATGTGTTGGGCGTGTGTTTTGGTGAGGGCTCGACAAGATCAGTCCCAGGTTCAGAAAAGCGAGTTTTAGAGACTTGACGCAAATTTAGCAAGCGAGAGCTAGTATTGATAATGTGCCTTGTCAAACCTGTTGTTTTATTGACTGACTTACTAGCTTCAGCATCAACACGAGGAGGCAGGCCTAAGAGGGGCTCCTGGCCTTCCAGCCTAAGGTTTTTTAGAGTCCGGTCTATCCGTCTCTCAGTTGCTCCACACAGAGGAGTCTCAGCCAGACATTTCTCTTGACATTTTTTATGGCAAACATAAGCACACAACATACACTGGGAGGCAGCTTTTGTCCAAACTTTTTTCTTACAGTAATCACACCAGGTTGGGTTTTGGAATTGAGTATCCTGGAAACTATGCTTATTTTCTGGGGAGCTCATCTGTCCAATAAGGTGCTCCTCTTTAGAGAGGGTAGAAACTTCTTCAACTAAGTGGGGTTCTTTTTCTTTTTCTACATTAGTAACTATATTGTGGTCTGGTTCTCCTTCCTTCAAATACTTGAAGTGAACAGTAATGTCACCATAGCAAAACTTGTCATTGAAGCCCTTCTGCATACTCAGATTGCGTAGAGCAGTTCTAGTGACCATGGCCTTAGGTGCAGGAGCTTCCAGCCTGAATTTGGAAAGGTATTCCATGTTGGATGTAGCTAGGCATCCCAAGGCCACATCTTCAAGTTTTAAACTAACATGCCCCAAACAGGTGAGACCCCCCAACTTGAAAGGATCCCTACACCACAGTGCAATGTTTAGGTACCTGTGGCAGGATTCTATGTCAAACAAACAGGATGCTCTGGTTCTTGTCCATTTTCCTAGCTTATTACGATAAAGAATTTCTGATGATTCCCATGTCTGACGATCATCTGTGTTGTCTTTGGTAGGGCAGGAACTTTCTGAAGTAAAATCTTTAGCCACTTCTTGCTTTGCTAAAAACTGCTTAGATGTGCTCAAATCTTCTACATGATCTACATTTTTCACCTGCTTTTCAGCAGACTTGTCTACTGGAGTAGGAAGCAGCACCTTCTCTGGCTTTTCAACAAGACCATCTGGTTCTGCCTGATTTGGAGTATCAGCACAAGGCAAAGGAACTTTCACTTGTGGTCTCGGTGGCACAGGTGGTTTGAAAGTGGATCCTTGGGTGGGTTTTGACACTTGTACTGGCTCTGTTACTTCAGAAGTTTTTAGGGCCAACGGTTTAGTTCCTTCTTTGGATGGCATTTTTGGTGGTGGTGGGTGACTTCCTGCAACTACTTTACGGTTTAAAACTGGTGATATAGCGCCAAGGGGTTTAATAGAAAGTGTTGTTGGAGTCCGTTTGGGACTCTGACTTAATGACTGTGCCTCATCTTTGAGCTCATTTTGTACTCTGACATCACTTGCCAAGTCTTCATATTCAGAATCCAGGTCTCTGTTTTCAGTATCTACTGCCAATCCTGCTGCTTCCTCTTCATAACTTGGTTGGCATGAGCTTGACAAAAAGTTTTCTTCTAACTGGCCAAAATTATCTTGTAGCACCACACCTTGATTACTCTGGCCAACGGGCCTTTCATAGTACACCAGAACTCGGTCACCAGCCTGCTTGATAAGCTTCAACACTTGTAGTGTCGAGGTAATTTTCACACCTGGTTTTAAGATTTAAAAGGGAAAACATCAATCACTGCAATAACACTCACCTACATTTGTTAAATATAATTGCTATAACTTATTATTTAACTAATGAAAGTAATTAAGTAAAAATGTTTTACTTAATTTCTGGATGAATTGTATCCTGATTCTTAATCTGAAGGTGCTAACATACTGAGAATACTTAACTTTTCAACCCACATGACATAAGATCCCTAAGCGTGCTTGCCTACCTGCCAATCTTAACTGCTTCCCAGTCCATCCTAGGTTAACTGACATTGTTTCTCAGTTTGAACCAAGGAAGTGAGTAGAGAAAACCTATGTTTAAGAGGACTTAACTATGGCTAAACTAGATGTAAGGTGATGAGAAGCTGCGATTTTACTGAAGGAAATTCCAAAATATTTCAGGGACTAGAAGCTATGTGATGAATGATTCAAATTAAGAGAACAACAATTGACTCTTTTACAGGTTCTTTTCATTAGGCATTAAACTCATCTTCAGGATGATAAAATTTGAAAAGTTGGTTCATATCTGCATCTGCACTATCTTAAATTTTAAATTTTCTAATTTGTTATCCTAACAGTTTGAAATTCAAAGATACAAAAGGATGTTCAGTGAAAAGCTGTTTTGCATCTCTACCAGGCATATATCTTTGCCCTAAGGTACCTAGTGTGATACTGAGTATTCCTATCACCTAAAGCCTTATTTCTTGCCATCTTGTCCACCGTCCCCAAATACTTCCCCCATACTATCCCTTTACACAGCTTATCGAAAGGTAACATAGGGTCTTTGTTTTCCAAAGGAGTCAGGGCCATACTCAATAAATCAAAGTAACATCAGCCTCTTCTAATGACTTCACCTCACAGGCTGCTCAACTTCTGTGCTCTTACTTCAGCCACCCTGCAAGACTTGCTCATCAGGCAGAACTCTGCCACACCAAAAATCATTCTCATCACTTTTTATTTTTACCTCTTGCAATCCTGTCTGGTAGCTGATTGTTTTTAAGCAATTTTGCAGCCCAATCTTTGCTTCCTTCTTCTCATGGTCCCCAAGATCTTTTGATACTACTTGCTTGTCTGCCCAACCTAAGTCTCAAGATTACACTGTTCTTGCTGCTATGTGTGACTCTGCTGTCCTAGCCCTTTCTTCTGCTATTGTACACCTGTCTCTTTGGCCTCCAGCTTTGCTAGCCCCATCTCATTTTTGCTCCTGAGTTTACTACCTAGATGTAGCATCAAATCTTATTATCCATTTTTGGCAAAGCATTCAGTGCTGCTTAGCTTTTAGACTGGTCTCTAAGAGTCTAAAAGAGCAGTTTCAAACCTCTCCTATTCCTTAAAGTCCACCCTCCCACCACCTCTCAACCTGTAGATGCTGTTACCTTGTTTGCCCAAAGTACCAACATGAAAAAGACTGACTCCCTGCCAGGCATTGTGAGTCTTACTTTGGAGGAGTACATATCCTTTATTTCATTTTGGTCCCTCCTTTAGACTTTGCTTCTCTAGTTATCCTAATTCTTATCTTGCTCCTTTTCTTTCTCCCTCATTTTTTCTTTTTTTTTTTTAAACAAATGACTTCTTTTTTTTTTTTAAATATTTATTTATTTATTACATTTATTTATTGTGTGTGTGTGTGTGGCCAGCTCAGCCCACCAGGGGGCGGGTCTGGCTGGCATGTGGTGCTGGGGATTGAACCGCGGTCCCTGTGCTTTGCCAAGCTTGTTTCAAGTAGGTGCTTTAGACCACTGAGCCATCTCTCCAGCCCCTCTCCCTCATTTTTTCTTTCCTTGTTTTCCACAACACTCTACTAAGGTGGTTGTGCTCATCTCTAGTTTTTCTGCACTGATATTTGACTGTCATCTTCAAACATTACCAATGCTTTTTCTTTCATAATTTCTCTTAACATTCTGCTTCCTGCTTGGTATTCACCTCTGCTCTAGTCGTTTAAATTTAAGTTTTTAAAAAAATTTTATTTATTTATTTGTGTGTGTGTGTGTGTGTGTGTGTGTCTGTATGCGTGTGCGTGCATGTGTGGCCAGCTCAGCCCACCAGGGGGCGGGGCTGGCTGGCACGTGGTGCTGGGGGATTGAACCGTGGTCCCTGTGCTTTGCTAAGCTTGTTCTAAGTAGGTGCTTTAGACCAGTGAGCCATCTCACCAGCCTGTTAAATTTAAGTTTTTTGAGACAGGGTTTCACTATATAGTAGAGGTTGGCCTTGAACTCATTTTGTAGTCTAGGCTAACCTCCAAGTCAAGGCAGTCCTTTTGCCTCAGACTCCCGAGTGCTGGAATTACAGGAATGTGCCACCATGTGTGGCTTCCAGTAGTTTAAAAAAATGGATTATCCTTTGTCTTTGGTTGATTTCCCCCTTTCTCTACTCCAGCTCCTTGTGGAAATCAACCACCTGGCTTTTCTTTGGTACTACATCTCCAGCACTCTGACTCATCCTCCTATTCTGACCACTATAAATCAACCTGCTACCTCCCAATGAACCCAATGTGAATAAATCCATGACACAGGTGACTTCCTTGGCTATGATTCTAACTCAAAGATCGGGTCCCCTTGTTTTCAGTGTGCCAATGCTCCTGAACACTGGCCTCCTGTGCAGTAAATGACTGCTGCTGTAAGCGCTCACTCAGACCTTTGCTACTTCGCTCACCAAGCATACTGCTGCCAGATTTTCCTGACATTTCAGTTTGAAAGCTGACAGCCTAGAAACTTACCCTGAAACTTAGAGCTAATCTAGTTCTACATGATTTATTTAGCCTTAAATACTACTATCACTTCCCTCTAAGTTCACTATGTCCCAGGAATTATCATTTCACATATGCCTAAATGAAAAATACATTCACCTAGTGTTCTGCAGAAGGAAAACTTCAACTTAAATTTAATTTCTTGTCTCTTTTCTTGTTGTTCTTTGGTGACTCAAAAATTTCTCATCTCAACTCTTCCTTAATCACCAGGGACTTTGTGGAGATGGCCACTGTACCTCTCAGGGCTGGCCATCCAAACCTGGATTTTTCTTTAGGAATATTTTAAAAATATTCGAAAGTTGAGAATAGAGTAAAATGAACTCTATTATAGGACCTAACTGTAACATTTTGCCAACCCTATGTCAACCATCACCAATTCTGTTATTAAATAGTTTAAAAATGACCAAAAATCCATAAAAAGTCAAGTATAGCTACGAAAATCTTTTTGAGAAATACATATTGGGCCAAGATTGTAACGTATTAAAAGAAAAAAAAAATCACAATGCAGGAGGACTGTACATTCAAGCCCAGCCTGGGTAACTTATAGGCTTTGAGGGACCCTGTCTCTAAACGAAAAATTAAAAAGGGGGCTGGGAGTATAGTTCAGTGCAAAGGCTCTGGGTTCAATCTCAATATTGGGAAAGAAAATAAATACTATTTCAAAAATTATATTGTAGGATTTGAGTTTGTTTCCTGGAGTTACAACAAAGGATATATTTAAGTGCAAGAAAAAGGGAGGAGGGAAACATATAAAATTTTTTTCTTATGTGTATTAACCTATTCTTATCTCAATAAGTAATATTTTAAAACAAGAATCAGAGGTAGAGAGAACACCGTTTTACTCTGCATATTTGTACTGCATTTGTTTTGAGAAACATATTAACCATGTATGTAACTGGACAATTCTTAAGAGGGGACAGCATCCAGGACAGGCTGTGGCGAGATGAATTTCCAAAGGGCTGGGTGACCCCAGCCCTACAGCCTTGTCTGCTGCAGCCCAAATGGCTCTCTTGGATTTTCCTCAACAGACACTCTAGAAATGAAAATCTTTGCATCTACTTTTGAGTTTCTCTGTAAACGTAAAGGATACTGGACGTTAGCATAATTACCTCCAATAGCAATGAGGCGATCTCCCCGCTGAAGATCTGCAATTGCAGCCGGTGAGTTTGGGGCCACAGTTTCAATGATGACATGGCCAGCACACCCATCAGTTGACTGAACAAGACGGAGTGTAAGTCCAACACTTTGTAAATTTCCTTTTATTAATTCAACCTTTGATAGAGGATAAAAAGAACAAAAACACATTCAATACATTCATCGTAGGGTAGAACAACAGTAACAACTGACCTCAGTTGACTGACTTTTGTACTTCAGTGATTGTAATTCTGTAATTACAGAATTTACAATTCTGTAAATAAAGGAAGGATAAAATAATTATTTTAACAATATAAATTCACATTCTCAGACTACACATCCAAGTTATGGAGATATTAAATATTTTGTCTTCAATATGCCTTATTAAAGATCTATTTGGAAATAAATAGAAAAGCTATATGAAAAGAAAGCCACTTCCAGGGCTGGGGAAATAGCTCAGTGGTATAAGCACTGGTCTGATAAACACAAGATCTTGAGTTTGATCCCTGGTACCACCAAAAAAAAAAAAAAAAAAAAAAAAAAAAAAAAAAAAAGCCACTTCCAATTATATTATGTAGAACTGTTAATATCTTGTATTTTCTAAAGTATAAACACAAAATTGACCATTATCAGGGCTGGCCAGATAGCTCAGCAGGCTAAAGTGCCTGCTTAAGCAGATGCAGCGACTGGGGTTCGATCCCCAGTGTGCTATGCTGGCCCCATCCCTGGGGTGCATTGAGACTGGATTGAAACTGAGCATGGTGGCATGAGCTTGTAATCCCAGCGTTTGGGAGGCTGAAAACAGGAGAATTAGTATGAGTCCAATCTATGTAGTGAGATCCTGTACTTAAAAAAAAAAAAATTGACCAGTATCTTAAAAACTGATACTGTGGATATAAACTGACACAAATTCTGAGTTTTTCTTTCTTCACAGATAATGGGAATAACCTATGCCAGTAAAATGTGCGTTAAAGCTCACTTTTTATGGAATATAGTTGGCTTGGTTGGTTAAAGGAGGATGTATGTAGGTTATATGTAAATATCAAGGAGTTTCAAATAAAAACCTTGAACATCTAGAGATTCTGGTATCTAAATGTGGGAGGTAGTGTGTTTGTGGGGTTACCAAACCTCTATAGACACTTAAGTAAAGATGGTTCAGTTGAATTTTCTTTTGGGGAAAAAAAAACTACAATTACATTTTAGTAAGAGTTGCCTTGTTAACAAGATTCTAATTTACCAAGACATTTTCCTCCAAACAAAGGTCATGTCATCTAATTCATCAAGAATATGTGTAATATTAACATAATCTGTCATTTTTATTTACTTATGTTTTGTATGTATTTATTACAGGATCTCAGTATACAGCTTAGTCTCATAGTGATCTTCCTGTTTTCAGCCTCCCAAATGCTGGGATTACAGGCACAAGCCACCACACCTGGTGGCAATCACCATCTCAGCATGCCCCAGGGGCGGGGCCGGCATAGCATGGCATGCCAGGGATCAGACCCTGGCCCTGTGTCTGCCTAAACAGACTCTTTAATCCACTGAGCTATTATAATCTGTTACTTTAAAAAGAAACATGCTACCTATACACATTCAAATCACTAATTACATTTAAAAATTAAATAAATCAGACACACATGCTTAAATACATTGCTTCTCTTATATGAAAAAATCCAAAATATGAAGAGCAAAATAAAAGTTAGATAATAGGACATAGGGAGATAGATCTTTCTCAAATAGGAAGAGGATCAACAAATGGGAGCAAGGGGGCAGGTGCCTGGTCCCACCATTTGAGAATTTAGGCAGACTCTGGGCAGCCCACAGGATTCTGGTGAGCTTCGACCCATAAGCCCTAGTGCTTGCAGGCACAGAGCTTGTGCTGGTGCTTGTTCCCACCATTAGAGAACTTAGTGGCCCACAGGATTCTGGTGAGTCGTCATGAGACCCATGGGCCCCAGGGCACAGGTGTGGCAGTAGTGCTAGAGCCCGGCCCAACTATCTGAGAAGTTAGGAAGATGCCAGGCAGCTGCAGGATCCTGGTGAATCCAGCCCATGTCTAGCACCTGCACAGAAGCTTTGTTGAGCACCACCAGTCACCCTCACCAGTAGTGAGAGCGTTGGTGAATCCTAACCTGTCCCCTCCACTGGAATAAGACCTTATTGACCCACCACTCTTCCTTCCACCCTGCTGAGCCAGGTGATCACTGGGAGCTTTAAAAATGCCATAACACAGGAACAAAAGGTAATCTCAATCCTCCAGTCTACCCAGAACAAATCAAAGACACAAGGATATAGAAGAATGTGGAAGTAACACACCTGAAATTTCTGAAATGACTGCAACTGAAGTAAAGAAACAAGTCCATCAGGCTATAAAAGATATGGGATCAGAAATAATCTCCCAGGTCAAAAAAGAAATGACAACAATTGTGAAAGAACTGTCCAGCACAGCTAAAGAAAGACAAAAAAATAAAGGGGAATAGAAAAATATGGAAACACTGAATGAACAATACAGGAAAGAATTAGAAACTATGAAACAGATTCAAACAGATATTCAGGAAATTAAGAATTCCATTGAAGTGCTGGCCAGATAGCTCAGTGGACTAAAGCCCCTGCTTAGGCAGAGCACAGTGGCCAAGGTTTGTTCCCTGGTGTGCTGTGCTGGCTCTGTCCCCAAGGCACGCTGAGACTTGATTGAGACTGGGCGTGGTAGCATGCACCTGTAATCCCAGCACTTGGAGGCTGAAAACAGGAGAATCACTATGAGTCTGATTTACATAGACCCTGTACACCCTGTAGACCCTGTCCTAAATTCATAAAAAGAAAAAAAAAATTCCATTGAAAGCTGGCAAAACCACTTGAACAAAACTGAAGATAGACTTTCAGACCTTGAAGACAGCAGTGCAGCTAATGAATGTAAAAGAAAAGATCTCTTAAAACTAACAAGGAACCAGGAAATAACAATTAAGCAGTTACAAGATAATGCAAAGAAAACAATATAAGAATAACAGGTGTTAATGAAACAGCAAGAATCAGCACAAATGACATAAAAAGACTATTTGCAGAATAGCAGAAAATTTTCCAAACATGAGAAAGTAATCTCACATACAGTTAAGTATGCATACTTAACAATTCACATACAGTAAGTATGCATATAGAATTCAAATACTATAATCAAAATAAATCTACACCTAGACACAATAATCAAGATCCCACAGATTCAGCAAAAGAATAGAATATTAAAAGCTGTTAGAAACAGATCACCTACAATGGAAAGCTGATCAGAAGCATGGCAGATTTCTCAACACAAGCCATCAAATCAAAAAGAGTGAAGTATTTGAGGTCCTGAAAGAAAATAATTTCCAATCCAGACTGATGAACCCTGCAAAACTGTCAAGTTCAATGGTGACGTAAGACTCTTCTATGACTAAGAACTGAAGAAATCCATGACCACAAAACCAACCCTACAAAGAGTACTGATATATATCCTAGAAAGAGACAGAAACAACCACAGATTCAAGAACAACAGAAAGGAATCATCAAAAACAGCAAGTAGGGCTGGTGAGATGGCTCAGTGGTCTAAAGCACCTACTTAGAACAAGCTTAAGCTAAGTAAAGCACAGGGACCGCGGTTCAATCCCCAAGCACCACATGCCAGCCCGCCCCGCCCTCTGGTGGGCTGAGCTGGCCATACACACACACACAAAATAAATAAACAAATAAATTATTAAAAAAAAAAAACAGCAAGTAATGAAAAAGAGGGGTAAGGTATGGAACCCATAGGAAGATAGTAACATGACAAAGATAAGCCAGTATGTATCAGTTGTAACTATCAAAGTAAATGGCTTCAATTTGCCAATCTAAAGAAACAGACTAGTAAAATGGATTAAGAAACAAAATCCAACAATATGCTGCATGCAAGAAACACATTTAACTCAAAAGGAAATTCACAGACTGAAAGTCAAAGGATAGGAAACAATATTCCATGTGACAGAAACCTAGAAAAAAGCAGGGGTTCCTGACAATATCACCTTTAAACCAAAAATGATTGAAAGAGATCACTACATACTTGTTAGTGGAAAACTGCAAGAGAAAGAGAAAACAATTATAAATACATATGCATCCAATGGAAGAGCACCCATGTACTTGAGATGAATTTTAACAGACATGAAAAATCAAATGAGCAATAACACAATTGTAATGGGGGACTTTAACATGCCACTGTCACAAAGACATGTATCAACTAGGCAAAAAATCAGCGAAGAAATAACAGAACTAAACCAAGCTTGGGAAGAAAAGGACTCAGAAGACTTTTAAAGAGTGTTTTACCCAGCAATGACAGAATACATGTTCTTCTCAGCTGCACATGGGCACTATGAAAGAGAAATTAGGGAAACCACACCTTTCACAATAACATCCAAACACATGAAATACTTAGGGATCAACCTCACAAGGACATAAAAGATCTATACTATGAAAATTATGGTACTTTAAATAAAAGATTTTTAACAAAAGAAGGGGATACAGATGAACGTCCATTTTGTATCTGTGTATTCAAAGTGGTTACGATAGATATATAGTTATGTTCTCTTAATGAATAGACTGATTTGTTTTAATGGCGTTTGTAAATAGAATATTATGTCCGCATCTTGTACAGTAATTAACCACTAGAAAGAATGAATTCAATGTGTTGATTATTGAAACTGTCCTACCAATTTGATTTGATACTGTCTCATTGCTATTTGTTTCTCAATAAAACTATGGAAAAAAATTTAAAAATAAATAAATAAATAAAAGATTGAAGAGGCTGTGAGAAAATGGAAAAATATTCCATGCTCCTGAATAGGAAGAACCAAGATTGTGAAAATGGCTATATTCCCTAAATTGTTATACAGATTCAATGCAATCCCAATAAAAATATCATTAGTATATCTCAAAGTTAGATAAAACTTTCCTCAAATTCATTTGGAACCAGAAGACACTCAAAATATCAAAATCAATACTGAAGGAAAGGCAGGAGAAACTTGGGAGATTTAATAATCACATTCAGTAACATATCAGGACACCAAGTTAACACTCAAAAATCACTAGCATTTTTGTACACAAACAATGCACCAAGAGAGAAATTAGGGAAAAGC